GGGCGCCGGGGTGGGGGCCGGGGGAGCCCGGGACCCGTGTCCCCGCGTGTGACCGCGCGGCCCTTCTGTGTCTGCCCTGAGGGACCCTCGGTGACCGCGGAGCGCGGTCGGTCGGGGGGCCCCAGGGTTCGGGCGCCTTCCGCGGCTGGGAGTGGGGAGGAGGCGCGCGGAGGGCGTCTGGCGGAGAGGGCTGTGCGTGCTTGTGAGTAGTCGCTGTCCAAAGATGCTTCCGGTAGCAGTTCGGCCCCGCCCCGCCCCTGCACTGCCCCCGCCCCCCAAGGCCCTTCCTTTGGGACACTCAGGGGTCTGTCCCTGCCCCTCCTCAGAGCCAGAGAAGGGGTCGGGCCACAGACGCAGGGCTGAAGTCCTCACCACGGCCACGCCCCACAAACCCTTTTGCCAACCTCCACGTCACCCTGGTCTGGGGAAATGCTGATCCCAGCAGTTTGAGGAGGGTCTGGGATCCCCCTGCCTGCACTCTTTCTTTTTTGTTTTGTATTGGGTGTTCGGTTTTGTTTTTTGTTTTTTTGGAACAGGATCTCACTATATAGCCCAGGCTGGCCTTGAACTTTGGAGATCGTCCTGTCTCAGCCTCCCAAGTGCTAGGATAACAGGTGTCCAGCAGCAGACCCGGCTTTCTCCCTCCCTTTTGCTCTTGCAGCTGTGCCTGCTTTTCCTCAGCTCGGGCACAGGGACCCCACCTTCTTCCCTGGAGGGGCAGGGGCAGTCACCAGCGCCCTGGCATCTCTGTCACACTGATTTACTGGGGTCCAGCTGGGTTTCCCTGCCAGGTGGGTGGGACCCAGTTCCTTTTGTCCCCCTGCACTGTACATAGACCTCAGGTCGCCAGGCCCCCAAGCCCCTTCACTCATTCCAGGGAAGCCCCGTACGTCGCGGGTGGACCCCTCCCACTCCCACCCCCGTGCGTCTCGTTTTCTGCAGATTTGCTGTAAAGTAGACTTCCCTCTCCTCACCCGTCCTTTTATTGTAAATATTGTCTCTAAATGTGTAACATATTATAAAGAATTTATAAGGATTTTTAAAGATGTTTTTCTCATTTAAAAAAGTGTTGTAACAGTGTTGGATAAAGGCCCCCCACCTCCGCATGGCTCCACCACCGTGTCCCTCACACACCGCTCTTGGCGACAACTAAGACTTCCTGCTTCCCAAAAGTCCTGTCTTACAAGTACAGTCTTTATCTTGGAAATAAACGGCCTTCCTGAGTTGGTGGTCTCGCTTGCTTGGGGACAGAAGGGTTGGGTGGGGTGACAGGTGAGGTACTGGGAACTGGGTGGGCTGGATAGAAGCAAACCTCTTCCTCCTGGTGTGTTTCTCCAAATGTCCTGGGAGACTGATGTGAGTCTCACTGTGCAGCCCAGGCTGGCCTCGAAATTGTGGAGATCCTCCTGCCTCAGCCTCCCCAGTGCTGGGATGACAGTGGTGTGCCACTATGCCTGGCCTTAGATCTGCCTCCTAAACATAGCAAAGGGTGCCTTGGAACGGAAAGCAAAGTCCACAGGCGTCCACAGGAAGAAGTAAAGCACATCGGCAAGTCTGATAACAGAGACGTTAAGAAACAGAGCTTTGTGGTAACTCCCTCTTTTTGTCTTCGACTTTTCCTTTACCACAGACAGCGGTAAGTACAGAACTGCTGCTGGTAAAGGCGTAACTCATATGACAATAGTAGTCTGCAGGAGAAGGAGGGAAGGGGGCTGTATCAGAGCAAAATGTTTATATCCTATTTAGTATTAACCTGATCTAGCTTGGTTTAGCGCTCACCCAGAAATTAAGATGCTAATTGTTATCCCCAGGAAAACCGCTAAGAAAACTACTCCAAAAATATAGTAAATGAATCAAGGGAATTCGGAGATCGCTTACAAAGTATTTTACCAAAAGAACACGGGATTCAAGGGCTAGAGGAATGAAGCAGGCGCAATACGTGGAGGAAAGTAACAGCAGGCAAGAATCCGCACTTAATAGCAGTGCCACGGGGCCGGGGAGATGGCTCAGCAGCACAAGTGCCTGCCTGGCAAGCACAAGGTCCTGAGTTCAATTCCCGGTACCCAAAAAGTAAATAAGTAAATAGCAGTCACAGTGGTTGTGAGAGGATTCAGGGTCCTAAGTAGAAGGCACAGGAGGACTGGGGTATAGCTCAGCAGTACAGGCACCTGGCAAATGCAAGGTCCTGAGTTCGATTTCCGGTACAAAAAAAAGGCACAGGATAGCAAGCAGTTAAATGTAAGACCTCACTACAAGCTGTGTACAAACAATTTACTTTGGATTCAAAGACACAAAAGAGGTCAGGTGAAGAAGTGTGTCTGGGAGCCAAGGCAGGAAGATGGCAAGTTTGAAGCTGGCCTGGCATTTTAGCTACTTAGCGAGACCCTGTCTAAAAGTAAATTTAAAAAATAAATAAAGGGCTGAGGCTGTAGCTCAGTGCAAAGGCTGTGGCTTTAATCCCCATCTATCCGTACAGTGGAAAATCGCTGTGATTTAGACGGCCTTTGTAAACACGATGCCTGTAATCTCAGCACTTAGCACTTGGGAGGCTGAGGCAGAAGGATCCCTTGAAATAAGGAGCTCAAGGTCAGCCTGGGTAGGAGAGTGAGACCTTGTCTCTTAAAAATAAAATGCCCAAGGGAGACCCAGAGAGGTGTGCAGACAGGGAGAGAAGATGGCTTCCGGGGGTTCCTGCTTGTGCCCTGCTTGCCCCTTAGGAACCCGGAACTGAGGCCAAACCAATCCACTCCTGTCCTGGCTTTGCTGGGTGTTCTCCGAAGTGAGGTGGAGCCAACAGCTTCTGCCCGACTCCCCAGAGGATGAATGAGCCTTGAGCTAAGGATTCCAAAGCACTGACAGAGCAGCTGCACAGGCTGGGGCTGGGGGTTCGAGCGCTTGCCCAGCACCCGAGAGGGCTTGGGTTCAAAGCCCTCCTCTTTCCTCCCCCGGGGGATGAGTCCTCCCCCTGCTGAGACAGCTGCTCAGCGACACTTTCTGCCCTGGCGCCCTCTGGTGGTTTTGATCGCACATGACCCGACTCCACACTCTGGCTTTTGCTCATCTCCTGCAACCCACGGGTTACTGCCCACCCTGGGGGCTTCAGCCTGGGACCCTCAGCCACCAGCTTCCACCAAGCCACTCCTCATTTTGTTTTCAGGTAGTGGGGTTTGAACCTGAGGCTCTTCACACTGAGCTACATCCCCAGCCCTTGTTTTTATTTTGAGATAGAGTCTCACTAAGTGGCCCAGGCTGGACTGCAACTTGTGATCCTCCTGCCTCAGCCTCCCAGAGGGCTGAGATTACAGGTGTGCGCCATGGTACCCAGCTGCCACTCCTAATTCCCAAGGATTCCATGCAGATGTGCCCCCGGGGCCTGGTCACACTCAGGAGCTGTGGGTACCTCAGTGCCTCTGCCCTCTGCTTCCTGGTGCCTCCTTGGTCTGCTCCATGCCCAGGCTCTCTGGCTGGCTCCTCAGACAGAGGTGGAGCTTGGGCCCAGCCGACCCATGAGCCACACGGCAGGTGCAGGGAGCATGCATGAAGCACCTGGCACAAGCTCTGGCATGTAGTTGGGGGGTGTTCTCCGGAACTAGGATGGGAGCAAGAAGACAAGATCTGCTGACGTCCCAAACGACACAGCGGTGACCCACGGTAGAATGAGAGTGGCCCTGTGAGAGTCTGCAGGGACAATGGGGACCTTGGTGTGAGGGTCACTGGCAGAGAGCAGGCCGATTCCCAGCCTCTGCCTCCAAAGGAGGTTTTAGAACGTGCAAGAGGGAGCCGGGCGTGGCGGCCCAGGCCTGTAATCCCAGCACTTGGGAGGCTGAGGCAGGAGGATCATCACGCCTGAGCTACAAAGTGAGCTCAAGGCCAGCCTGAACTTGCATAGTGAGATCCTGCCTCAAAAAGACAGAAATAAAGAATGTGCAATGTGCTCCAGGGCTGGCTGGAAGGCTGCAGCCCCAGGACGCTGTGACTACGTGGGACAGAAGTGATAGTATGGGGTGAAGGGAAGGAGATAGCACCCCCAGGCCTCAGCCAGAACCTGGGGAAGGCAACCTTCTGTGCCTCAAGGGCACAGAAGCGCAGCTTCTGCCTTCCAGACCGGAAGGCCCACGCAGAACCCCAGGGCTGCCGCACTTGCTCTGCCGTGGGCGTGTGTGCACACTAGAGCGCTCAGGTGGGACGTGCGTGTTCGCGTTATGATCTCAGAAGTCTTCAGGCTGCTACTCTAGATTTGAGAGGTGACCGACCCGGCTTCATCTGGGTGGGAGGCTGGGGAAACGGTTTATAGCTAGGGTCCCCCAAGAACCTGTGGTGCTCACAGGTGGGGCTTTTGGAGAGGCTCGTAGCAGACTTGTGGCGAGGGGCGGGGCCTGGCGGGAAGGGTCGTCCCAGGGGCGGGGCCTCTCCCTAGCCCCGCCCCACAGCTGCACCTTCCTGATCACCATGCCCTGAGCAGCTCCCCTCCGCCAGGCCCCTATGCCCTGCTGAGCTGCCTTGGAGCCACTGACTGAATTGTAGGCCGGAATAAACCTCTCCTTCCTTAAGTTGTGGGTGTTGGGTATTTCTGTCCCAGCAACAAGAAAGTGACTAAGACAACTGGCTTTCTGCAGCTTTCTCAGCTGCAGGTTCAGGGAGCACCCACGGCCAGCTCACAGATGGTCAGGAGGCTGAGACAGGACGCTGCCTGGGCCCAGAGCTGGCCACTGAGAGTCCCTGGGTCCTGCTGTGTCCTTGGTTCTCAGGGCCTCAGGGCAGCGCCAGCCCTGGTCCTCCTTCCCTGGTGGCTGTGAGTGTCCCTACCCCATGCCTCCCGGCCCTCACGGGTGAAGAACAAGGCAGCAGAGGACAGGAAGGAGATCCAGGAGAGGAAAGAGAAACAAATTTTATTAAAGCCCCAAACACTCGGCTAGAAAAACCGAAAAGGAAAGAGCGGGGAGGTGGGGAGAAGGACGGTGAAAAAGAGACAGAAAACACAGCAACCCTTTTCCATTTAGAAATTGTCAAGTTACACCGACAGAGGTCACAGAACATCCACAGAAGCTGTCACTGTTACACCAACACGGTCCCTACGGGGTGGACGGGGCGGGGTGGAGCTGAGCTTGGCCCGGGTGCCCTGGGACCCCGCGCAGAGCCCCAGCCGGGCTCCGGGAACAGCATGGGGCGGGGCGGGCGAGAGCCCCCATGCGAGGGGCAGCGCGGCGGGCGGGGGCACCGTCCCCCCGATTTCTGTCAAGCACACACGGGCGTGGGGGGGCAGCGAGGCGCATGCAGTGGGGCACAGACGTGCTGCGGGCTCTGGGGGTCGGGGGCCGGGAAAGGGAGCCAGGCGGGTTGCGGGGATGATGGGACGCGCACGCACACGCATGCACACGCACTCTGGATCTGCACCAGCACACTCGTGCCCACGCCCGTAGCCGCAGCCAGGTCCCACGCGCCTCCGCGTCCACGCCTTTGCGGTCCCCATGTGACGGGTCTCTGGAAGCCAGGCACATCTGCACACACGCTACACGTGTTCTCACGCGCAGGGCTCCTCTCACGTGCACACGCAGGCAGGCACATGCCAGTGTCCTAGCAGCTTACACGCGCCTCCGTGCACACACATACACACACACACACACACACACAGACAGGCCATCCCCATGCACTCACACCTCATGCAAATGCACGCGCAGCTAGGAGGCCCCGTGCCGGTGCACACCCGCACACATCTGCACACACCCAAGCTGCAGTCTCAAGCAAGTGCCTCCCAGCCCGCTCGTGTGCAGGAACTAAAGCGAGAAGGATGCGGATCCCACTGGACTCTACCGCAGGGGGTGGGTGGGGCCCCCTCCTTCGGCCCCACGGATGGACGCTCCCCTCCCCTCCCCCACACAGGGACATCCACTCAGGACAGTGACAGTGGGGTACGCACTCAGGTCACAGGGCTGAGGTGGTGGGGGGCAGGCGGAATAGCAAGCAGAGTAATGGAGCGGAGGGAGGAGGGGGCACCACTCCCCCCTCCCCTCCCGAGCCGGGGTCTCTGTACCCGACTAAGCATCGCGTTGCCTCCCTGGACCGGCCCCAGCCCCGGCCGCCGCTGTCCCCAGGCCCCAGCCCCGCCCAGACAGCGGCCAGGAAGAGAGGGCCGTGGGTTCCTTTTTTTTTCTTTTTTAAATATTTATATATATTTATATTACGTATATTATATATATATAATATGTAAATATATTTTTAAAACAATATAAAATGTTAAGACACTTCACTTAAATGTAAAGAGTTGCCTGCAATTAAAAGTAATTGCATCATTTATGAGGTCCTTTTTTTTTTTTTTTCCTATTTTCTAGGTTTTTTTGTGATTTTTTTTTTTTCAGGGAGGGATTTTTTTTTTCCTCTTCTTTTGTTATTTTTCAAAAAGGCTCACTTGCCTTTGTACAAAAAATGGTCCGAAGCTAGAAAACAAAGATGAATCAACAAATCCAGAAACCAAAAATAATCCCAAAGGAACGAAGAAACAGCCCGGCTCCCCACTCCCCAGCCCTCCCCAGCTCCCTGGGTCCCCCACCGGGCCCCCAGGGACGTGGGCCCAGTCCCCTTCCATGGCTCCTCCTTTCTGTGCTTATGGGGGACAAGCCCGATGTCCCCTCCCTGTGCTTCCTCTACCTTTGTGCTCCAAATAGGAACCCTGTCCCCTGGGGACACCACTCCATCCCCTCCTCCCCCATCTCCCCGGGCCCCTGGGCACCCCAGGACTGGGGACCTAAAGCCTCCTTCCCCCTCTATTCCAGGACTTGGGGACCCTCAAACATCTTGTCAGTAGTCACCAGATCCCCACGTCGCAGCCTGCCCCAAAGCCCTCAAGTCATGGAAAGGGTGCTGCAGGTCAGGTCGGCCCCGCCTGTGGGGTCAGAGCTGTCCTCACTGCCCCAAACCCCCCAGCTCTGCTCCTCTCCCTCCCACCCTCAGGCCTCCAGACCTACCCTGCCAGGCCCTTCCCTGTCGCCTGCCCACCCCCATTCAATAAGTTAATGGCGTGTAAAGTGCTAAATTAGGAAACTAAAAGGATGAATGCTCCTTCCCGGGCTGCCCTCTCCTTGGGCAGCGGCCCAGAGGCAGGCTGCCCCCGTGACCTCCCTCCATGCCAGGGTCACCAGCGCCTCCTTCTCTGCCAGCACCGGCAGCTCCTCCCCACAAGCCAGTAGCTCCCAGGGACACGGGCCTGGTCACCATGGCCACACGCCCAGCCCGGGACCTCTCCCGCCCCGCCTCTGTCCCTCTGTGATGCCCACGGGTCCATCTGGCCTCCCGGCGCACTGGACGCGACAGGACGGAGCAAAGTAGCAGCAGCGCTGTCTCGTCCCAGCTCTGTCGGGGAGCAGGGCGTCTCCGGGGCCAGGGTCGCCCTCATGCCCTGGTCCCATGGTCCAGCCGGAAGCTGGGGGCAGCCCAACCTCTTCACGCTCCTCCAGGACGGGATGACCGAGAAGGGAGGGGCTCTCTTGCCTCTCCAAGTCTGCGTGGCTCAGAGTTTGTTTGGAGTTTCCTCAGGAGCGAGGGGAAGGCGGGCACGGGGACAGGGCAGGAGCTGCGGGGTGGACTTCGGGAAGAGTATGAGAGAGGGGACAGACGGTGACAGGAAGAGGCCACTGGGAACAGGAAGTCAAGGGGAGGTGGTGTGTTTGGTTTTTAGTTGTACTTTCTGCTTTTTAAAAAAAGATAAATAAAGGTGAATCATTAAAAAAAAAAAAAAAACCAAAAACACCAACAGGGGGGCGGGGAGGAGTATAGAGGGTGAGGAGGGCCATGTGGGGGGGACCCTGGAGGGCCCACAGGAGGGGGTGGGGTGTGGGGGATGAAGGGAAGGCGAGTAGGGAAAGATGGCAGGAGGAAGGAGGGGGCGGGCTGGGGAGGGATGTGAGGGGCTTCTAGAAGGTTCTAGAAGGAGATGGAAGAATTCCTTGCCCCAAAGGAAGTCAATACGGGAATGGAGGTTCTGGAAGCCGAGGGCTTTTCTGACACTGGGCTCGAGGTCTCATTCGACCCGCTCATCTCTTTAGATGGTTTAGTGGCCTGAAACAGAAACAGGGTCGGGGTCAGAGACAGCGGAGGTGGCCTTCAGGCCTTTTCCACCCCCAGCTGAAGCGTGAGGGGTGGAAAACCTCCAAGATCTAAGAGAAGACCCTGGAGGGTCATCGAGAGAGAGCAGAGCCCTGACTTGGGGGTGCAGGGGGGGCTTGGCAGGGGCAGAGAGGAAGTGGGGAGGGGTGGGGTGGCCCACGGTTACTGACAGCAGGGAGAGAAGGTGGAAGAGAGACACCACAGAGGACAGGAGAGACCGAGCCCAGGGCAGGTGGGGGGATGGGGCGGAGGGGGGGAGAAGAAGTGAAAGTTAGCGGCTGCGACAGCAGGCAGAGGGGTCAGCGGCCCAGCCCGGCCGTCAGGGTCCCCTTTGGCCTCTGTGATGCTAACATGCCAAGCAGGGGCCTCTGGTGGGACAGGGTGCACTTCCGGGAAGGACCCAGCCCACCATCCCGGAGGCACTCTCTCTGCACACAGCTGCCAGGAAGGCCACCCGGTCCCCAGTGAACAAGGGGACCTTGTTCCCGGCCTGCAGGGAACAAGGCCCTGTCCCTACACTGGCTCCAGATGCTTGTTCTGTGGAGCTGTGGTCCTCCCGGGTGAGGTATGAGAGCCACCTGGATAATCTTCAGGGGACAATGCCTGGCATGCGTCACACATGCAGATTCCTGGGTCCTCCAGATGGGACTCTGATGCGGGCCCAGGGATGTGCAGGTGAAGCGGTGCCCTGAGGTTCTGCGGCACCATTAACCTTGGGCTCCGCTTGGTCAGGGTCACACAGGGCAGGCCTTTGCCCTGTAATGGTAGCCCGTAACTGAACAGCCGTGATTGGAAAGAAGAAGGGGTGGGGGGAGCCAGAAGCGGTGACATACACCTGTAACCCCAGCACCCAGGAGGCTGAGGCAGGAGGATCACCACAAATTCAAGGCCCAGCCTGGGCTACACAGTGACTTAAAGGCCAGCCTGAACTACACAGGGAGACCCTGTCTCAAAAAATATATATAAAAAAAAGACAAAAATAGTCCTGTGGTCTAGACCCGGAGGCTAGTTCTGGGCAGGGTCCCTCCACGCCCCACGGACCTACACGGTCACCCAGTTGCAGGCTAGGCTTCCAGATGCCTTGGGCAGGGAGCTAGTGCCCCAAGCAAGTCCTGCTTCCTGTAGCCTGCAGCGACACAGGAGGTCACACCGCCTGGTGGGGACCTTCTTGTTGGTGACCATTTCTTCCTCCACAAATACAGAAGTGGCCAGTTCTGGATGCAGCCAGACTTCCCTGCGCCGCCCTCTGCCGCCTGTGCTGCCCCTTCGGGCTCCCTGCCCCTCCTCTCCTGTGGCCGCGCTCTGATCCTCAGAGGGTCCAAGGCTTCGGCCACAGGACCCACTGATCCACCCAGTCTTTGTCCCTGTCCTGGGCCAGGCCCTGCAGCTGCAGCACAAACTCCGTCCAAGGCGAGCAAGCGCTCTTACCACGCTGTCCCCGACTTGCGCTCAGCGCCACCCGCCCCAAGGAACGTTCTCTCCCCAGCCAGAAGAACGGGCAGAAGCTGAGACCTCTGCCTCCTGCCCTCCTTTCGCTTCCTGCCGCCCCAGTCGAGGGGTCGCCCCCTCTTGCCTGTCCTCTTTGCTCTCAACCAGTCTTTCTAGTGAAAAGCCTCTGCTCTGCCCCACAGCATTTTTCAAGGCCCTTGGTCTCTTCCAAGCTTCAGTGTTGGGAACACCTGCTCCTGGTGTGTGCGGTCACGCAGGCAGGCGACACGTCCTCCCGCAGCTGCCCCCGCTGCCCCAGCCAGGGCCGGGCCTTCAGTTCACGGCTCTGCAGAGACGTGTCCTCGTGGACCATCCTCCCTCCCACTAGACTGGCCGCAGCGCCGCCCCTAAGCCCCTGTCGCAAAGCTTCAGGCCCAGCCACCCCATCCCAGCCGCTTGGCCTTCTCAGGTGACATGGCTGCAGTCTCTGAAGATTCCCCCTTCCTTCTGTTCTACCCTCAGATCCTCCCCTCCACCCCCATGGGTCCCAGTTTTGTCTGGAGAAGAACTTGGTCCCATTTGCCACAAGGCACAAACGTCACAGCTGCTTAACACTCTGCTGGCCAGGGTCTCCTGCACCCCTGTATGGAAGTGGACCGCCTCCCGCAGAGCCTGAGGGCTGGGCCATTCCCAGTGCCACCCAGGGGCCAGCAGGAGCAGGGAGCCGTGACTGCGCCCCTTGCCCTCTGCCCTGGGAAGGTCACAGCCTCTCTGCGAGTCCTGTCTGTGCCTTCAGCCCTTGGGGCGGCCCCTCTGCACTGGGGCTCCCAAAGGAGACCTGCAAATTTATCCTCACAGAAGCAGGGTGTCTGTGACTTCCACAGCCTCGATCCTTGCACCCCTGGGCCTCTGGCTCCATCCACCGATGGACGCCAAGCATAGAATTCAGGGCTCTTGCTTTGCAGTTTCGTTTGTGGAGCACGGCGGTTTCCCTGGCACGTGTGACCTCAGAGCCCTGCTGGGGTCTCCTCCCCGCTGCGCAAGTGACAGAGGAGGGGCCTGGAGAGGGTGGAGAACTCGAACGAAGGCCATGGACCGCCGTGTCCCGGCCCCACTGCTCTGGGAAGGCACCAGGCACACTGGGTGTGGGCCGGGAGGTGACGGAGGACCAGGCCGTGCGCCAAGTGACCAGGAAGAGCCCTGGCCAGCTTGAGGAGGGATTCAGATTAGGATCTAGGCCCTGGCTTCCAGCTGATCTGTGAGAAATCAAAATCTGCATTCTCCTCATGGTGCCTCCCATCTGTAATCCCAGCACTCTGGGAGGCTGAGGCAAGAGGATCACAATTTTGAGCCCAGCCTGGGTAACTTAGTGAGATCCTGTCTCAAAGTAGCAAAAGGGCTGGGATTGCAAAGGCCCTGGGTTCAATCCCCAGTACTGAAAAACAACAACAAACTGCATTCTGCAACTACATTCCTGCAGGTCTCAGAAAACAGGCGAGAGGTGACAGCAGTCGCAGGGGGACTGCGCCTCGGGGTTTTGTACTTTTCCCCAGTGCAGGGAGCCGCACCCACACCCTGCAGGTGCTTGGGGGCGAGGGAACAGCGCATACTGAGGAGGTGAACCTGTGGGGCTGGGGTGGGCAGTGCTTCCCAAGGGGACAGCTACAAGCGGGGACACTGGCAGAGGACAGCGTGACCGAGGAGCTGAGGCCACAGAGACATGCAGAAGAGAGGCATCCAGAGGGCGGCCAGGAGGGTGTCGGGTGAGATGGAAGAGGCTGGCGGAGGGGACAGCTGGGCACAGGGCAAGACACTGGGGGCAGGGGCTGGGGCGTGTGTGGAGGCCTGGCTAAGAACTCTCCTTTTGGGGGTACTGAGGATTGAACTGGAGGCCTTTACTCTGAGCCACATCCTCAGCTCCTTTTCCTTCCTTTTTTTTTTTTTCTTTTTCTTTTTTTGGTTTTTCTCTGGTACCGGGAACCGAACTCACGACCTTGCGCTTGCTAGGCAGGCGCTTTTGCCGCTGAGCTAAATCCCCAGCCCCTCCTTTTCCTTCCTTATTTTGAAAGTCTCACTAAGTCTCTAAGTTGCCCAGCCTGGGTGACTTCAATCCTCCTGCCTCAGCCTCCCAGAGTGCTGTGAGAATGGCCAAGCATCACCATACCTGGCTGAGGAGGAGGAGGAGACGGTCCCGGGGCAGGGTGGGGAGGGTGGTGGTCACAGGGACGGTGGCCAGCAGAGTGCCCCCTCCCGGACCTCACCTGCTGCTGGGCCTGAATCCTCACGTACTCCGCCCGCTGCTTGCTGTGCTTGCCTTTGTCCGGGCTGCCTGCCTGGCCCTGGGCTGCCTTCAGCCTCGAGGCCCCGGGCGTCACCACCTTCATGGGCGGCACGCTGCCACCGCCACTCTGCAAAGAGAGAAACTGGGTTGGGGTGGAGGCTCGAGGGGCACCAAGACCCGCTAGGGGGCTGGGCCAGGACCTCCTGGGGGGCCGGGGTGGGGCACAGCCTAGGCCAGGGCTCCGCCCCGCCCGAGCCCAGGTGCCTCCGAAGGACAGCTGCGGAGCCGAAGCAGCTTCCGTGGCTTTCCGAGTGGCACGCATGCCCTCCCGGGAGGCCACTGCCAGCGCGAGGGTCCCCAGCACCGTGCCTGCTCCCAGCAAGGGCTCCTTCCTGGGCCCGAGCTGAGGAAGGCAGAGCGGGCCAGGCAGCCTCAGGCCCACACCATCCTCCTCACGGGGAGCGGAAAGGTCCCCCCAGAGATAAGCAAAGCTGTTTTGTTTCATTTTTGTACTGGGGATTGAACCCTCCAAACTGAGCTTTATCCCACACACCCTTCCACTTCCTTTTAAATTTTGAGACAAAAATCTCACTGTGCCGCTAAATTGCTCTTGTTGGGCTCAAGTTTGAGCTTCCGGCCTCAGCCTCCTAGTGTGCTGGGATTACAGGCATGCCCTGCCATGCCCAGCTCAGCCTGGCTCTTTGAATCGCCTGACAGCAGGCCTGCCCAGCGGGGCTCTGGGGACCAGGAGACATGAACAGAGAAACGAGAGACAGACAGAGTCGGAGACAGGAGGAGGGAGCTGGGGCGGAAACGGGGAGAGAGCTTTATTTGCTGGTTTACAGATACAGAGCAGAGGTGGGGCGGCCCCGGGTCCCTGCCGGGGTCAGGGGCTCTGAGTCCTGGGTGGGCCGGCTTCCCAGCCTGCCCTGGCTCTGCCCGAGAGCCCTGGCCTGGCTGCAGGCTCCCGAGAGGGTAGGGAGCGGGTTGAGACGGCTGTCGCTCCTGCGGCCCCAAGGACACCCTTTGCTCTGAAGGCCCAGAGCCCGGGGTGGCAGGGCAGTGGGGGAGGACGGGAGAGGCAGCCACCTGGGGTCTGGGGAGCGGGCCGGAGGGACCAGCAGGGCGTCCTGCAGTGGCAGGGGCTGCACCCAGCTCGCTCAGGGTGGCCTCCAGCTCCCACAGCGCCTCCTCCAGGCTGTCCCTCCGCACCACAAAGCCTGGACTGCCTGAGGGCCGCTCCCCACAGCAGGTCTGCGCCCCATGCCCCGCGTCCCTGGGTGTGTCTGCTGCAGGCGTCTCCATGGCGGGGGGCTCCTGAGTCCCATCCAGGGCTGCTGCCCTCGGACAGGTGGCTCTGGCCAGTTCCTTCCTGGCTGCCCTGGCCTTCGCGGGCACCGGGGTGCTCCTGGGCCAGGCAGCCACGGCCGCCAGCTCTGGCGGGGCCTGGGGCCTGGGGCACACCAGGGTCCGGGGTCTTGGTGTAGGGGCTGAGCGGGGGCCTGGATCCTCACTCCTGACTTCTGGTGGGCATGGGGGACACTCCGTCAGGACGATCCGGGGGACGCAGAAGGCCGAGAGTCCTGGGGCAGCCTGGGGGAGAAAGGAAGGTGAGGAGGGGTGTGATCCCTGTGAACCAAGCTCCAAGCTGGGCTATGGGTTACAGGAGGGGAAACTGAGGCAGGGAGGACCCTTACTGGGCTTACCCAGTGAGTTAGAGGGCAGGTTAGGACTAGAACTCAAGTCTCTCTCACCCCACCCACGTCCTTCCATCTCCAGTGACAATGGCTGTTTACAGACGCAAGTGCGGTACATGTTCGCCTCTCACGCCCATGTCAAACCCCGGAGCGGGTGTCGGGCCACCGTCAAGTCTGTCTGATGGGACAATGTTGTGGGCTCCACAGAGAATAAAGTGAGACCATCTGGGCCCGTGTCCAGCACACACCAGGCGGGGCACGAGTGCCCCTAAATATGGGCCATGTGCTGACTTCACTGAGCTCTGGCCCTGCCCAGGCGCACAGCGGTGTGGCCAGGCTGCTCTGTGCCCAGCTCCTGAGCGACAGGTCCCGGTGACCCCCAACCACAGGGTCCTCGTCTAATCCTGAGCACCCAGCTGTGCCAGACGCTCTTCTACAAGCTATATCCCCAGCCCTTTTGATCTTTTTCATTTTGAGAACAAGGTTTCTCTACGTTGCCCAGGCTGGCCTTGAGTTTTTAAAATTATTTTAAAATTATTTTTTAATAGCCTTGAATTTGATGATCCTCCTGCCTCAGCCTCCCCAGGAGCTGGGAGTACAGTTGTGTGCCACAGTGCCTAGCCACCTCCTCTTCAATGCCTACTGCAGCCCACTGTCCCTCTTGCTGTCTCCACTGTCTAGATGAGGACCTGAGGTGACAGCTGTCACGGGATTCCCCCACTGCCACCGACTGGCAGCTTGTTAGAGGCAGAGCCAGGATTTGAACCCAGACAGTCTGACTCCAAGTCCAGGGCTCCTTCCACTAAAAGCCAGAAAGGGCTGCATGGGGATAGCAGGGACCTTGGCCACCCCTCCCATGGCCACCCACCCAGCCCTGCCACCTGCTTACCTGGAAGTGGGGTGCAGGCTGGGGAGGCAGGGGGGCAGCACCATGCTCGCCCGGCTCCACTGCCGATGGTACCGCAGAATGCAGACAGTCAGCGCGGCCCGAAGGCCAGGGAAGGGCCTTGTCCACTGGGACCCTCAGGATGGCCCCCAGGGTCAGACAAGGGCAGGAGCCAGGTGCCAAGGGCACATCTGGCCGGAAGGTGCCCTTTCCACACTGTGTCCCCAGATGGCTCCTGGACTGCTCTGTGCCACCCCCTCCCGGGAGGGGCACTGCCCCCCATCTGATGCCTATCTGCTCCCCCACCAGGGGCCAAAGTGACCCGGGCCTCAAGCCAGGCCAGGACGCAAGTGACTGCCACCAGGGAGATCCCCGTGCCAGGAGGAAGCTCGCATGGGAGGAGAATGTGCCATCCCCAGAGCAGGGCCCGCCCGCCAGCCACGCAGGGCAGGGCAGGGCGAGAAGAGGTCGCCCCTGTCCTCCCCACCCTCCTCCCCCTGCACACGCCATCTGTGGGGCAGACAGCAGCTCCACCCTCCGGCTCCCAAGAAAGAACAAAGAGGAAGTAAGTGCAGCAGGACAGCAGCAGGGACCAAAGTTAGAGAGAAGGAAGGACTTCCAGGGCTGAGACGGAACCAGCAGCTGCGGAGAGGCGTGGCTGCTCCTATTCCGCACCTCCTGACCAGGGGTCGAGAAGGAGCGGGACAGGAGGCCGGCGGGGACCACAGGGGGCGGGGGTGCCCACTCCCCAGGGCAAGGTGCACAGTGCAGTGGGAGTAGCAGGCCCCTCCACTGGCCCAGCATGGAGCAGGGTATGGGGAGGGCTAAGCAAAGGCTCAGAACAAAGTCAGAGTTTTAAATTGTTTTGTTTTGTTTTTGTGCTTCTGGGGATTGAACCCAGCAGTGTGCTACCACTGAGACACATTCCTACTACTCTTTAACATTTTTTTTTATTCTGAGACAAGATCTCACCAAGTTGTCCAAGCTGGCCTGCAACTTGTGATTCTCCTGCCTCAGCTTCCTGCATAACCCAGATGATAGCCACACCCACCATGCCTGGCTTGAAGTCAGATTTTTTTTTTTTCTTTTTGAGGCAAGGTCTTGCTATGCAGTTCAGGCTGGCCTTGAGCTCACTTTGTACCTCAGGCTGGCCTTGAACTCGCAATGATTCTCCTGCCCCAGCCTCCCGAGTGCTCGGATTACAGGCATGCGCCACGCCTGGCTAGATTTTTTTTTTTGAGACAAAGTCTCACCTTGTAGTCTAGACTGCCCTTAAACTCTCTGTAGCCTAGGGTGGCAGTGAAAACAAGGTTTCTCCCGCCTCAGCCTCCTAGGTAGCTGGAATTTACAGCCGTGCACCACCATGCCCGGATGCTGCTCGAAGTCAGATTTTTTTTTACACAATTTTTATTTTTATTTTTATTTTTTGGTACTGGGAATCAAACTCAGGACCTCGCACTTGCTAGGCAGGTGCTGTGCCACTGAGCTACGTCCCCAGATTTGAAGTCAGATTTTGAATTTTGTCTCGGCCCAAGACAACACTTGGGCTTCAGGCCAGACCTAAACCCGGGCTGCAAATAGGACCAGGGTGCTCAGGCCACCCCGAGCTGCACTATAGCCAGGCCTGTAAGAGAACGCAGACTCGCGGTCACCAGGTACCCCAGCTGCCAGAGTCCCTTGGAGGCCGCAGGCCCAGCCCAGTTACGCGCCGTCCTTGGCGGGAGGGTGGGGTCACTGTGTGTGTGGAGCGGGCAGTGGCGGGAGCTTGCGCAACCAGGTGGCAGCAGGTTAGCGTGAGAGGTGGACAGGCAGGTGTGGGGGCACAGGCAGAGAGCCGTGAGAGGTGGGGCACCCGTTACCTTCCGCGGGGGGCCCAGGGCTGAGCCCCTGGGGGGCCCCAGGTCCTGGGGGGACAGCAAGGTGGGGATCGGCTGGCGGCGGGGCGTGGGGGGGAGGGAGGAGACAGAGCTTCTCTCAAACACCTGAGGAGCAGAAGGTGGGCAGGTTTGGAAGGCAGGACACCAGGAAGGAGGGGCGGTGGCCGATGGCATGGGAGGCTGGCCTGGAAGGGCAGGGGCCCTCATCGTGGCCACTGGCCAGCTCTGCCCTGCTCTGTCTCCTCTTCCAGGGCTCCGGGGACTCGGGGGAGGGGGGTCTCATACAAAGTCGAGGCTGGGTGACTGGGGTTGGGGGACAGCCCTGGAGGCCTAAGGACTCCTGGGTTCCGGGGCCTCACTGCACTGGCTGTCCTCAGGCTCTCAGAATGCGAAGGAGTGGGGCTTTCAGGGTACAGTGGCTCTTGGGGTACTTGGGGCGCCTCAGGAACTATGTTAAAAGCCTCAAACCTCCAGGGAGGGACACGAGACCGCTTTTCTACAGCGGAGGAGAAACGCGGGCAGCAGGAAGGGCGGGTCCAGGCCAGCCTGGCTGGGAGAGCGGCCGAGCCCCCACCCACCTCCAGCTCTGCGATGATGCGGTCCTCGTCGTCCTCGTCCTTGATTGCCGAGGCCATGATGGGGGGCGTGGAGGCCGGGCGGGCCACTTCAGACACGGCCCTGCGCAGCTTCACCTGCGGTTTCTGCACCTCCAGCTCCTCGGACTCCGCCTTCTGCGAGGACCAGGCCCCTGTCACACCGGTGGCACGGAGGCCTGCGCCCCAGCGCCCTACTCGCTCTGAGTTATCCTACGCTGACTCCTATCCCTCACCCCCTGCCCAGGGGCAATGTCACCAGCAGGCAAGGGCCTGGGAAGGCATCAGGGCAAATGCCCAGATTGGGGATCCTGGTTGGGGCCCCAGTCCCAGGCCACCCTCAGAGAAGGTCCCCTCCCACCTGAGGCCCGCCCAGGGTGGTTTCCAGCTTCCTCCTGACTCAGCCTCCCTGGGCGGCAGCAGTACCTTGATGAAGGCCGAGTCCTTCTTGCTGGTGACCACCACCTCCCCAGTGCGCGTGGTGGTCAGGCCATGCGATGAGGGGAAGCTGCGGCGGGGAGGGGGTGGCGGGGGCGACTTGGAGGGCTTCTCGGTGCGGTAGCGGGGCACCGTCAGCTCATCTGTAGGAGCCAAGGGGCTGTGGTCAGGAGCCTGAGACCGTGGGGTCACACCCTGCCTCTCAGGCCAGGGAGTGAGTGCACAGAGCAAAGCCTCCTCCTCCAGGAGGATCAGCAGAGGAGGGGAGAAATCCCGGCAAAGATGCAGGGCCCCCACAGTCCCTCGCTGCTCAGCGCACTGTCAGGTCCTTGGCCCATCCGAAGCGGCAGAACCAGACCCCTCCACTGGCACCAGAGTATGCGCTGGAGCTTCCTCTCCCTCTCCCCCAGCTGCCCTCTCAGGGGAAGCACTGCTCCTCTCCCAGGCGACAGAGAACGCCCCCTCCTCCGGGAAGCCCCCCAGCCTTCCAGGGCTTCCGGGGCCTCCTGAACAAGCCCCAGGGCCTCTTTCTGGTTTGTGACTAGGGGTGACTGTGACACACTACTACTTAACCATTTGGGGCCTTGGAGTCCTCGTCTCTAAAGTGGGAATAACTACTGTACCGGCTTGCGGGGATTGCTGTGAAATTGTAAAGGTTAATGCACAGAAAGCAACTGCACAGTCTGTGTGTGGGCTGTGTGCTTTGTTCAGCTTTTGGTGGTCCGGGGTACTGGGAATGGTACCGAGAGAGGTCCCAGGCCAGTTTACTCTTTATTTTGAGACAGCAGTTTCCTAAATTGCAAACGCTAGGCTCAAATTTTCGATCCTCCTGCCTCAGCCTCCCACAGTTCTTCCGGCACAGTGAATGCACGATGAACAGGAATGTCGGTGTGAAGCCCCACTGCACCCTGGGCCCCCAGGGCTGAGGGCTGGCAGCTGACCCAGAGCTTGGCCTTGAGCCCGAGGGTGCACCCCCATTCTGTGCTCCTTGCCTGCCCCTCCCCATACCTGAGCCCCTCCTCCCGCTGGGCTCCGTGCGGGGCGCCGCCTTCTGGCCATGGGGGGCTTTGGGGGGCTTGTGGTCTGGGGCGGGGGCCGGGCCCACGTGGGCCTTGCCGGCACAGTCCAGGTCAGGGATGGCCTTGAGCAGCTCGGCCTGCGTCTCCTCCAGCAGCCGGTTGATGTCCTTAGCGCTGTACTGGGTCAGCGCCGCCCGTTTCTCCTCCCAGTCTCGCTCTGCAGCCTGTGGGAGGTTCATGGGTCAGGGGTCAGGGGTCAGGGGTCAAGATTTGGGCTGTCACTTACCCATGCCAGCCAGGGCTCAGTCCCTCCCGCCAGCCACATAGTGCAAGGGACAGGAAGGAAGCGTCACACAGACCCAGCCCCAGGGACCTTGAGCCTTCTCCTTCGGTCGGAAATCCTACCTTCCTTGTAGACCACATTCTTTTCTCTTTCTTTTTTGGTGGTCCTGGGGGTTAAACCCAGCACCTTCGCACTGAGCTGCATCCTCAGCACCCCCCACCTCTTTTTTAAAATTTTGGGGCAGGGTCTTGCTAAGTCACCAAGTTGGCCAGGCTGGCTTTGAACTTGTGATCTTCCTGCCTCAGCCTCCCAAGTGCTGGGATAACAGGGACGCACCCTCACGCCTAGCACATTGCTTCAGTTCTTACAGCTTTCTAAATATGCTTTCTTTTTTTTGGGTTTTTCTCCAGTACCAGGAACCAAACTCACGACCTTGCGCTTGCCAGGCAGGCGCTTTGCCGCTGAGCTAAATCCCCAGCCCCTCTAAATATGCTTTCTGCCCCAAAAGCCTCAAGTCACCTTCACAGCGCTTCCCGGACTCCGTCTGGGAACGGCCCCTTCCCACTCCAGGACGGGCGGAGACCCCAGGACCGCAGCTCTGGACTCAGCCCCAGCCCAGCCCCCTACCTCCACGGACACGGCCTTGTCCACGCTTCGCTTCCCAGCAGCGTCCAGGCCTTTGGTGGGGTTGCTGCCCTTGGGGGTGAGGGGGGCCCCCTCGGCTGGGCCGCTCAGCTCATGCAGGTTCAGTGGAGGGCTAGGGGGTGGCAAGTCGAAGTCCAAGCCCTTGCTGAAGTCGGTCTCGGCCGTCACCTTCTTGGGGGACTGACTCAGGAGGTTGTTGGGGGGTGGCCACACTCCCTCGTCCACTTGCCTGGGGCGGGGCGTGAGGGGGAAACGTGAGGCCAGGGTGGGGGTGGGCCCCCCATAGGGAAAGCAAGCTGCAGCCCGTGGGGGTCACAGGTGAGGCCAGCAGCCCTGGGGACTGTGGTGGGGACCCCAGGGGCCGGGGCGCAGGCAGGGACACATGGAAACTCGAGGCCGGCCCGAGAGACCTGCGGATCTGGGCCAGTGTGTCAGTGACCCCGCGGCAGCGCTTGAGCAGCCCGTCCAGGCGCTGCGGCTCCTCCTTCAGGAACTTCACGGCTTCCACCTCCACGCGCAGCACCACGCGCATCTTGCTCTGCAGCCCTGGGAAGTGAGCTGGGGGACAGGCGGGGTGAGTGGGGGGGGCAGGCACACAGCCCGAGGCCCAGGAGCCCAGGGGGGACCCCGTCCTCACCCTTGAGCTCCGTCAGCGTCTCCCCAAGCTGCTTCAGCACCAGAGCCTTCTCCTCCAGCTCCGGGCCGGGCACCAGCCGGTGGCTGTGGGACGCATCCCGCTGGATCCTTTCCATGGACTTCTCCAGGTCACTGCAGCCATAGAGAGACCCGCTCAGCCCCTCTGGCCCTGCCCACCTCCCTGAGATGCTAGGAAGAACTCAGGCCACCAATCAGGTCAAAATGAAAAGCCCAAGTGAAATTGGCAAAGCCAAAGGTCAGAGAGGGGAGACCAAAGACCCTCTCAGTCAGGTCTGGTGCCACATGCCTGTTATCCCAGCTCTTGGGAGGCTGAGACAGGAGGATTGCCATGAGTCTGGGGCCACTGGGCTACAGAGAGTTCAAGGCCGGCCTGAACTGCTTAACAAGACCTTGTCTCACATAAATAAATACAACCAAAAGTCCCCCCGAAGGTGCCCCAGGCTACCCCGGAAAGCTCTGATCTTTAGCTACAGTGTCCAAACTTCCCTCTGAGTCTCCTCTGGCTAAGGAAACATGGAGGAAGTCCCAGGTGCAGAGGAGGTGGGGGGCAGGCGCAGGGGGCAGGGGCAGCTGCAGTGCCCCAGGGGTCTCCTGTCTAGGGACCCAGCCCTGCCCCTCTCCCTGTAGAGCCCAAAACTGCTTTAGGTTTCAGCAACTTTACACTAAGCTCTTGTCACTTAAGATCGCACACCTCTGAAAAAGTGTAAATCAACAAGACAGATGATAGGAATCAGGGAGAAGGGGGAGGGATGGAGGGAGGTGAGCCGTGGGAGGGAGGGCCGGCAAAGTAAAGCAAAAACCAACGAGGATGTGTTGTGTACATGCGCCCACTCCCCGTAACGACTGCCAACGGGCACTGAGAAAAAGTTTAAAAATTAAAAGCAAACAAATACAACACAGATGAAGACAAGTCCCCACTCCCTGCACCGAAAGGAGGCTGAAATCCAACCCCTCGGCGAAGCCAAGGACACGGAGGGTGGGGGGCGGAGTGCAGATGGAAGCTTGGCTCTAGCGTCGTAAGACCCATGCTGTAATCCCGGCCCTGCCTGACCAGCAGAGAGAGCGGGTGAGTTACCCAGTGTCTCCGGGCTCAAGCTTCTCACCTGAGAAACGGGGATGATAAGGGGCACCCCCAGCCCAGCCTTGGTGAGGGAGAAACGAACTCATGTGGGGGCTGCTCCTGTTTGCTCCCCGGCTGCCCCTCCACCCCCATCCGGCTTGCTGACCTTCCTAACACCCTGTTCTCTGGTCTCAGTGAGAAGCTCCCGAGTCTCTCCACTGGGGCTGAGGGTGCGCTTCCTGCCCTCGAAAGCCCTGCTGTTCCCGTCTGCTGAGTCATGCAACGCCCTGGACCACCAGCCCCAGGCAGGTCAGACCTGTGTCTCCCAGATTTATCCCCGATTCCCAGCGCCTGGCACCAGGCCTGGTAAATTGGGGGACAAACAAGTGGACAAAGCAACAGCTACAGCAAGTTGTCTCAGTTCTGTACAAGAGCGATGACATCCCTGGCCCACAGGCAGGACTGCACATAAATTTCTGTCAAATCCCATCTGCAGGGCCCCAGCTCAACAAGCCAGGCACAAATAACTTTGGGCTTTCGGTTCTACCAGCCAGCAGATTTGCTCCCCAGAAGGCTCTATGTCATTAGCAAGTCCCATCAGCATGCCTCATACACCTCCATCCAGCTAGCAGGGGAAGAGACAGGCAGGCAGAAGTCCCAGCAAATTCCAGGGATTCAGCTCTGGCAAGTGAAAAGCTAGCCTGTGGCAGTCGCTAACTTACCTTAACCTCACAACAAATCCAGGAGTGGGAATCATTATTACCTCCAGTTTACGACAGGACCAACAAGGTTCAGACACCAGACTACATTTCCCAGTCTCCCTTGCAGTGATCCACAGTCATGTGACCAAGGTCTCTACCCAGGGGGCTTTGGGTAGGAGTGGACAGCATTTCCAGGCTTGGCCCAGAACCTCCCAGCAAGCTCCTCCACAGCCTCTCCCTGCAGGTTGGCTGGCAAGACCTCGATCTTCTCTCTGGGCATGGTGGTGCACACCTGTAATCCCAGCACTCGGGAGGCTGAGGCAGGAGGATCGTTGCAAGTTCGAGACCAGCCTGGGCTACAAAGTGAGCTCAAGGCCAGCCTGAACTGCATAGAGAGACCCTATCTCAAAAAGTAAAAAAAAAAAAAAAAATCTTCTGCCTGAGGGTGGCAAACCTCCTGTCAGCCTGGACCCTAACTAAGTACTGACCACCCAACTGAAGAGAACTGCCCTGTGAGCCTGACAGGAGGAAAAATACCTCTATTTCTTTGAACCAGTACACAGTCTGAGCGCTTATTTGTTATTGAAGCTGTTTTAAGTAATTCTTTTTTGTTTGTTTTGTTTTGTCTTTTTCAGGCAAGTTCTCCCTATGCAGTTCAGGCTGGCGTTGAGCTCACTTTGTAGCCCAGGCTGGTCTCAGACTCACAACGATCCTCCTGCTTCAGCCTCCCGAGTGCTGGGATTACAGGTGTGTGCCACCACACCTGGCTGTTTTAAGTAATTCTTATTTATTTATTCATATTTTTGCAGTACTGGGAATTGAACCCAGGCCCTTTCCGCTGAGCTAAATCCCTAGCCCTCTTTCTTTTTGTATTGACACAGGGTCTCACTACATCGCTAAATTGCCCAGGCTGGACTCAGACTTATGATCCTCCTGCTTTAGGCTCCTTGAGAGCTGGGATTACAGGCCTGCACCAATACACCCAGCTTGCCCTAACTAATCAATAAACTACCACAACTAAGGCTTGGGCATTTAAAGAGGCAAAATGAGGCTCAGGGATTAACCAGGCCAAGGTTATACAACCACTCTGTGTGGAGGCGCTGGCTGCATCTCGATTCCACACTGGGCTGCGTCAGCACACGCCCACCTGCTGTCCTCCAAAGTCCTGCTCTGCCACAGGGAAGATCAACTCACCCTTGCCTGTGTGTGCGACACCTGACTGCTTCAGGCCTGGCTGGTTTTGTTAAATGTCACCACTCCCAAACACCACTGTGAGGAAGAAGAGACCTTTATTTAAAGAAAGACTCCAGTGAGCTTTGGGGAGAGAGAACACCGCAACTCTCAGGCAGACGAGACTGGGCTCCACCTGCACCTTGATTCCCTAACAAGACACTGGAGGAAAAATAGCCGAGAGAGCCAGGCATGGTGGCACATACATGTAATCCCAGCTACACAGGAGGCTGAAGCAGGAGGATTGCAAGTTTGAGTCCTACCTGCACAATTTACAAGACCCTATCTTGAAATAAAACTTAAAAAAAATTTAAAAGGGCTGCGCATGTAGCTCACTGCAAAGGCTCTTGGATATTCCCAACACCAGCAAAAAAAAAAAAAGTGGCTGAGGGCTGGGGTGTAGCTCACTTGTCTGGCATGTGCAAGGCCCTGGGTCCATCCCCAGCATCACAAGAATGAATGAATGAATGCATGTATGGCTGCGCTTTCCAGACCTTCATTTAGTGCTGGGAAGGCTGAGAGGTGAACTCAGGACAGAGCCAGCTAAATAATTCTTAAGTTGTGAACTAGAGACACAATTCTGATTTTGCAGTGGGCAGGAGCCGCAGCCTGGAGGGCAGAGAATCCAGCCAGAGGCAGATTTCCAGGCCCACAGGGGAGCCGTCTGGGTTGGGGTTTGATGATGGGAGTCTGTGTGTCCCTGGATCACAGACGCCCCCCAAGCACTCATAACGGAAGGTGTGTGAATCTGTCCTTTCCTTTCTTCTGCCTCTGTGCTTTCATATTTCCTTTAATGTCTTCCTAAAGTTCCTTTTGAAAGTTCCGGCCCAGCTCCCCCGGTGGAACGGGAAGACACAAGGACAGGACAGGACAGGACAGCCGGGTCCGCGGTACCCGGGAAAGGGAGCTGGCGGCCTCTGCTCAGCCATCCGGCTGGAGCTGTCACCAGCCGACTGTCCCTGCCCTGAGGGGTGGCGACTGCCGGCTCATTTCCACATGGGTGGCCCTCAAATTCATCTCAGCCCCACAGTAGCACGGGACCCCCATCTCACTCCTTGCTGAAATGTACACATGGCACCGGTTGCATGGACTCTGGGCTGACCACCAGTGGCCTTCTCAAGGGGCCCCTTAGAAGGGCTCCAGATACGACCTAGGGACAGAACTGGGCTCCTGTGAGCAGCTCTCCTGCCTCCTTGGGGGCTCTGAGTACAACCAATCCCTGTGCAGAAAGAACTGTAGAAAAAAAAAAAAAGCATCTTAATACAGGACACAGACAAGACACTGAGGCATGGAGGGGAGGGAACTGCCCTGACCACACAGCACCTCGGGGCTGAGACTGGACCCAGGTCCCCACACCCTTTAGCGAGGCAGGAGATAACTAGGTGTAGGCAGTGAGCCGGGGCAAGACAAACAAGGAAGGCGGAAGCCCTAATCTGCTGGGGACGGCATTAGGAGATGAACGATGAGCCAACGACTTCAGCCACCTAAGACCGGCTCAGACTGTGGCCGGGCTGGAGACCGGCAGAGGAATCGGGCAGCTCCTGATCACTTTCATTATTGGAGGACGCATCCTTCCCCGCGATGAAGAACTCTCTATCCTAACAGCCGGCCAGCCGCTTCCTTCTCGGTCCCGTAAAAGTGCCTCGACAAATCCTCACTGGCTCCCCCTTTTCTGGTCCCCTTTGGCCGCTTTCTTGATAACCTCTCCTCCTCCACCCATGGTCTCCTTCACCACCACAAAACACAGCCCGATTCTCGGGTACCAGCAGCGCCCTCTGCCTCGGAAGCAGTAACCTGCCCGGGACAGCGGTCTTGCGGTGCCTCGGGCGCCCTCTCCCTCCACAAGCGCCACACCATGGCGAGGTGGCCGGGTAGCCGTTTGCTAAATTTGGATCCAGACTGTCTTGGCCATGGCTAGGCGTCTGGGGTGGGATGTTCCGGTCCTTTCTTCCAGGACAGGCCAGCCCCGTTTCAGCCCTGCCTGGAAGGGAGGAGGCTTTCCCTCTGCAAGGGTTTGTCTCACGGACTAAGAGTGGGGGTGACGATACCCCATTGCTCTAGGCTCCCCGGGTCACTGTGCCTCGGTCACAGCCCAGCACGAAAGCAGGCAGCGGGCAGAAGGAAACCAGGCAGCGGGCCACAGGAGTGAAGCTGCGGCCACAGACAGCCAGGCGATCACTGGGAAGCAAGACCACAGCAAAAGCAGGCACCAGGCCAGGAAGAGGAATCGGGAATTATGCCAGATGATCAGAGGTTTGTGGGTCAGAGAAACCAGGCCACGCCGGAGGAGGAAGTCAGGCTTCAGAACAGACCAACGTCACTGTATTCCTAAGCAAAGGAGCGACGCCGGGGAAGCCAGGCGCAGGTCACCCCGGCCGCGCCCCGCCCCCTCCCGCTCTTGCCCGCTCCGCCGCCGCGCCCAGCCTCACTTGAGCTGCTGGGTGATGAGCTCCTCGTCGTTGAGGTAGCGCAGCCGCTCCTCCTCCACCAGGGTGCGCTGTCGCTGCAGCGGGTCCTCCTGCCGCCGCGCCGCCTCCGACACACGCATGCTCAGCTCCGCCTCCGTGCGCTTCAGCAGCGCGCGCACCGACTCCTGGTTCTGGAGCTGCGGGGCGCGAGGGCGGACGCGTGGATCGCGCTGGGAGGGAGCGGGGCTCCACGGGCCGGGCAGAGGGTGCGGGGAGGGGTCAAGGGTAAGTTCTGGGCAAGTGGAGGCGGGAGAGCGGGATGGGACTATGGGACCCTAGTAGGACCCTCCCGACTGTATGTCTGGGCTCGGAGCGTCCTGAATGTGGGGTCGGGCCTGGGAAGAAAGGCCCAGCACTGGGGCTGACAGTTTGGGGCGATCCGACCCAGTTCCGAGCTCGGAAGGCGGGGGTGAGCGGGATCTTAGCGGTGGCCCAGATGGCCACTGTACGCCCCCTCCCCAGCCTGTCCCCGCGCATTATGTTCACCTGATGAGGAGCGGGCACAGCGGTGCCAGGCTCCTGACAGGTGGGACCATCTGCCAGGCGGGGCGAGGCAGACTGGCAGGGCTTAGGAAGGGGGAGGCCCCCCCCCCCCAGAAGTTCTGCTAAGGACGGACGGCTAAGTGAGGGGGAGGGGCGAGGGATTCCGAAGGAGCTGTGGGGGAGGGGAACGATGGGCGGGGTTGTGGGGTGTTCGGGGCGGGGCTGCAGGCTGGGGCGGTACCTGGAGCTTGCGCAGCTGCTGCAGCTGGCCGCGCAGGTCGCTGGCGCTGTTCTGCAGGCCGCGCAGGTGCAGCTGCATCTGCAGACGGCTGACCGCCGTGGGCTTCTCCGCCGGGGCGCCGCCGGCCGAGGGCGCGGGAGGACCGGACACCGGGGTGGCCCCGCTACTGCGGCTGCCTGACCCGCACGCTGCAGAGAGGGACATTGAGGGTGGGAGAAGTAAAGCCTGAGAGGGGCCAGGGCAGATCTTACCCCCTCCTGACCCCACCCTATAGACAGAAGCACATGGCTGTGGCTCCGTGCGCTAGGCACCAGGCACCTTGGACTAAGATGACTTCTCCCCTGAAAGCCCACTGATGTCGTGACTGTTTGATACCCACTTTATAGACGGGGCAACTGAAGCTCAAAGAGGGTGAGGGCAGGGTCACTCACGTGCGGAGGGGGTGGCTGCCCCGTTGGAGCCTTCAATCTTCTCACTGTGGCACAGGGAAAGACAATGGCCATCACGGGGTCCAGGCCGGCCCCAGACCATCAAAGTGGAGCTGTCATCTCCAGCTCCCACAGAAGCAACGGACTTACAGTCACACAGTAACACACGGAGCCGAGCCGAGGCTGCTCATGCCCACTCCCTGCTTCCTGCTCCAACCCCAAGCCCCGTCGGTGGTGGTGGAGAGGGGCTCACCTGGGGGTCTCGGGCTCCGACCCCCGAAGGAGGGCGCTCTGTACCAGGCCCGTGAGGCTGGCAATCTGCTTCTCCATGGCCTCCATGCGCTCCCTGGGGAGGATGTGGTGCTGAGCAGCCCTTCCCGAGCCTGGGGCCCTCCTGCCCAGCGCCCGCTCCTAAGATCGGTGACCACAGCAAACACCCTTCCATCCCCAGCTGCCAGCACACAAAGGGACCCGGGCCTAAGGACCAAGAAATGTCCCCACTGCACATGTCCCCACCCAGCCTCTCCCTGCTCTGCGCACCCCCACGCCTTCCCCCCACCTCCTTCCCCAAGCCATCCCAAAGTCCCAGCAGCCGTGAGAAACCCCTCCTCCCACTGGGAAGTGCAACAATTTTTTGGAGCGTCTCCCTCCTTGAGCAAGAACTGGCATCGACAGAACCCATTGCAGTGTGCAGTTGGATGACTTCGGGGTGGGGGGCAGGGTCTTGCTGTGTAGTCCAGGTCGGCCTTGAACTCACTAAGTAGCCCATGCTGGCCTGGAACTTGCAGCAAGCCTCCTGCCTCAGCCTCCCAAGTACGGGGATGACAGGCATGGGCAACCACACCTGACACTCGTGCCAGCACCCCTCCCGTGTGCACTTCAGCTGGCTATGTGCTGGACAGCTCTAGGGCTGCCAAGGCCTTCTGCTCCCTGGAAAGACACTACAAAGGGCTGGCTGGGCCCTTTATCTACTGTTGGGGAAACGGAGATTCAAGTAACAAATGCAAACCCAGGTCTCCAGAGTCCGTGTCTGGAGCCCTTTTGCTCACCCCTTCAAGACTTGCTGATGGAAGGGAAATGGCACTGCTCGACTCTCCAAGGCCCTCCCTGCCCCATCCCAAAGTCAGGTCTACCAAGGACCCTGGGACCTCTGAGCCCAGGAATGGCATCCATAGGCCAAGACCTCAGTGACGCCTGCTCTCCCACCCCACCCTAGCCAGGGGTCCTCACCTGGTCTCTGCGTCCTTGGCTGGCACTGGTGGTCCAAAGCCCACGAGCGCGCGCTCCCCAGGGCCGGGAAAGAGCTCGGACGGGGGCACCCCGGTTCCAGAGGCGCCCCCGGTGCCGCTGCGCGTCTTGGCCCCGGGGCTCTCGGCGAAGACGGATGAGGAGCCTGAGTCCTTGCGGAAGGACTGGCGCACGGGCGAGCCGCGGCTGGGCGGGCCCGAGTAGGGGCTGTGGGGCGGCGGGGGTCCGCCGGGGGGCGCGCCCACGTCCGCCAGCTTCTGCGGCGAAGAGGGCGGCAGGCGGAAACCGTAGCCGTCCCCGTAGAGCGCGCCGCCGCCGGCCGCGGCCTTGTAGAGCGAGTCCTCCAGGTCGGACTGCAGCGCGGCGGCCGAGTAGGTGCTGAGCGAGCGCACCGAGCCGCGCTTGTACAGCCCGCCGGGGCCCGGGAACGCGAAGGGTTCGCCGGCCGCCGCCAGGCTCAGGCGGCCCTCGTGCAGCAGCCCGTAGGGGTCGGCGTACAGCCCCTCGCCCTTCACCAGCATCATGCCGCCCGCCTTGCCCGCCAGGTCCTCGTCCGGCTTCACGTCGCGCCGCTCCAGGATGGCGCTGGGGCTGGGGCTCACGCCCTGCGCCC